TTGTGATTCCAGGTCGTATTCAGGATGGAGAGGCGTGCCCAGCCTTATACTGCCCTGTTCAAAATGGGTCCACCGGATCCGACCCTACGGCTGACCCTTCTGCCAGCCGAGGTATCCGTTACCCAGCCAGCCGGCATGGGTAGAGTCTGCGGGATGGCAGGTTGCCGGGGTTCACCTGGACGCCTGCCCCTGTGTGAACTCCCCTGCCACCTGGTGGTGAGGGCCATCACTATTAGACCTTGCGCTTGCCTGCTCCCTTCAGCCCTCATGTTCTCCGTTCCAGCCAATTCGACCAAAAGATTACTGTGTTGGCCAATACGGCCCTGGGAGGGAGGGGAGGCGCCTACCTTCCCACCACTCGCCTGGCCCCACCCCCCTGGCCCGTCGGCCAGGCACCCCCCCCCTCCCCCACCCGGGCCACGTAAATGGCGGGCCTCACCTACCCGGGCCCTTTCTGCTTTCAGCAGCACTTCCTTCCTGGATGTGTTTCATCCAGGTGGGAACGAACCAAAACATGGGATCTGCACTCCCATCTGCATCATTCAGAAAATCTTATAAAATCTGATGAGAAAATTGTTTTCAGTGCCTTAATTGTTGGTTACCTAGCAATAATCAAATTTACTTTATGTTTAGATACAGGCAACGCAGATTCAAATCCTAGTAGACTAAATGGTGAACTGGAAGGCAGGACAAGAGGCAGCCCTTCCACTGTGCATACACTGAACGTATCAAGCTCATGGCTGTTGTAGAAGCAACTATAGGAAGACAGGCTGTTTACCCAAGCTGCTGCTACTCATATTAAAATAGGCACATTTCAAGAATGCTGTCGGGGCTCTACCCAGCATGACCTTGCTATGGAGTAACACTAACTCAGATTGTGAGATGTGTACAGTATTTTTGTCTAGAATTTTAACCAAGTAGTTTGTTCTGTTTGAGAAGAAACTAGGTCTATACAGCACTAATTGGGTGGCCCTTGTGCTACCCAAATGGCCTGCATGTATGTATACCCTGACAACAGGCGCATCCCCATCTAACATGTAAGGTACGCACATTCACCCAAGGTGATTATTATTGGGGCCTTCTGCCCAGTGTATACCAGGATCCAAGGTTAGGTCTAATGCCTCATATAAAGTGTGCTAGTTTTTAGAAATGAACAGATGTCAGTTCAAAGTTGAAGGTTGAATGAGAAAACTAATATCAAAAGAAATTTGCAAACCAAATACAAAAATTGAATAACAAGCATCGCACATTTGTTGTTGTTCAGTTGTAAAGTCAAGTCTGACACTTCATGACCCCATGGTCCACATCATGCCAGGCCGTTCTGTCTTCCGCTGTCCTCCAGAGTTTGCTTAATTTCATGTTCATTGCATTGATAACACCATTGAACCATCTCATCCTTTGCCATCCCATTCAGTATCTGGTCTTAACAGTCAGGGTTGATTTCCTTTAGGATTGACTGATTTGATGTCCTTGTAGTCCAAGGGACTATCAAGAGTTTTCTCCAACACCATAATTTGAAAGCATCTATTCTTCGGCACTCAACCTTCCTTATGGTCCAACTCTCGCAGCTGTACATCACTACTGGGAATTCCATTGCTTTGACCATACAGACTTTTGTTGGCAGGGTGATGTCTTTACTTCTTATTATGCTGCCTAGGTTCACCATTACTTTCCTCCCAAGGAGCAGGCATCTTTTAATTTCATGGCTGCAGTCACCATCTGCAGTGATCTTGGATCCCAGGAACGTGAAGTCTGTCACTGCTTCCATGACTTCCCCTTAACTGTTCTATAAATCCTAGTTTTTACTAAATCCTAACCTAAGCCAATATGACAAGTATAAAGAGTAAGGTAGGGAGGAAGTAAACATATGTGCCTGTCTGGTGAGTGTAGTCCTGGCAGGTTTCTCAAAAGAAAGGAAAAATCAGCACTAGGGAGAGTGAAGTGAGAAACAGAGGGTGACTCTGCATCTAGCATTCGCTCCACATTTTCTCAACTGGAAGGAAACAGTGCAGCTCTAAACTACATTCGAATACCTCAGGGCAATGTCATACTGACTGCAAAGTCACTCCTGAATGGCCATAAATCTATGCAGAAGGTACCATTAAATCCTACGATCAAAGAACTTGAAAGTGGCATAGAGTGTGGAAGCTACCATAAAACCCGATAATCAAAGGAAGTGAAAGCAGCATGCAATGCAGAGGGGAATTTCTGTTCCAACGTGGGTTTCGTACAACAACAGAGGGAAAAGCCAATGCAGAATCAGCCAGAGTGTGGTCTTCTGGTGTGCCTGTGTTGGATGGCAGGGCCAATACGGATTCATGCACACATTCCCACTACATGCTCCCACAGGGTGGGTTGGAGACATTTGCTGGAACCCAGTATCAAAATGGGACCTAATGGCTGGAACAAAGTACTAGGGTCCTCAGGGCTATCTTTGCACCACAAAAGTGTTAAGATAGTAGGGTAAATAGGGTGATCCTCAAAACTGATTGGGTTGGAGCCCAAAGTTGCAAACCTTGGTGGATCAGGTGAATAATGGTTGAGTAGGAAAATATCTCTCATGGATGGGGAAACTGGGGTGCTGATATCCTCTTTGATGAAGTTTATAGCCCAAATAAAACAACAAACCAAGTTATATGGTGGCCACTTGACTAGGTCAAATTCTAGAGTAAACATAACAAAAGGGAACAAAAGCATCAACCTAAAAGATAGATATGCTTGCATCATACCTCTAAATCTCAGGCAGATCCTGTTATATGTTTATGTACCCCTATAAGGAGCTACGGTGGCTCAAGTGCTTAAGACGCTGAACTGCAGGCTGTGGAAGGTCAGTAATTCAGCAGTTCGAGACCCGGGTGCTGCATGATGGAGTGAGCTCCCATCTCTAGTTCCAGCTCCTGCCAACCTAGCAGTTCGAAAGCAAGAAATTGCAAATAGATAAATAGGTACCACTTCGGTGGGAAGGTAACAGCGTTCCGTGCACCTTGGTGTTTAGTCATGCTGGCCACATGACTACGGAAACGTCTTCGGACAGCGCTGGCTCTTCGGCTTTGAAACGGAGATGAGCACCGCAACCCTAGAGTCGGATTCGACTGGCTTTCAAGCAAGGGAACCTTTACCTTTACCTATAAGGATAGAGTTTGCACCTGCCTTTATAACGAACCGGATTCAATGCAACATATCCTTCTTCGTTGCCCTCATTATTCTTTCCTATGCCATCACCTGATTTGCCCTCTCTTGTTTGCAGCAAAGATTGTTGACAATGAGTTTAACTTCTTACTTTCTGATAAGTCCCCTGAAATCACTGCATCAGTAGCTGAGTTCCTCTCATTTGTATGGAAGCTAAGGGCAAGAGTTTTTAACACTTAGATTTTTAATGTACAGTTTTACTCTGGGATATGATTTTTGAATTGATTGTTTTGACCATTTCCCCCTATACTACTGTGGTATAAAACCTTCAGTTTTATCTTATTGTTATCTTCCTGTAATATCATGCTATGCCAATAAAGGTTGATGATGATGATGATTATGTAATGCAAAAATCAATTAACTGAGACTATTACTACTACTTTGGGAGGATGGGAGTGGAGTAAATGCAAGCAAATTGTCAATTACTTTTCTTCCTCCCTTTGAAGTAGAGAAACTACAATAATGCACTGAGATTCCCCTTTTGCCTCCCAATTTCAGAAGAAACCTTCCTGATATTCCATAGCTTGGGTGAGACTGAATTAAATGCACAAAAGAAATTCATAGCCCTTCTGGAGGATCTATGGAGGGGTCCCAGTTACATATATGGGTGCTGATCCAAGGTCTTACTCCCTGGTTATGCTTGTGCCAATCATAGACCAACTTCCTCTTTCTCTCAAAGCAGGGTTGCACACAATGCTGCCTGGCTGGCCCATGTCACAGTCAAGAAGCTACCTCTTTCCATCTTAAGCTGATTGTTCATAGTCCTTTGCTCTGCAAAAAGACAGGCAAAGTCCAAATAAATAAATACATAAATAATTAACAGTTCTTCAGTATGGTAATCATGTCTGTCATATGAAAAGTCCCAAAGTATAAAGATTTCTGTTCTCCGGCTTCCATGTGTTAATCAGCTTTGACCTTGGTAATCAGGTACACATATGGGTACAGGAACAAAGGCAAGGAGAAGACAATTGCCACATTAGGTCCAAAATATTGTACTTAGGTAGCATTTTTCCTTTGAGATATTTAAGACTAATGCTCTGTGTTCCATACCTCCCTTACTCCACGTGGAGAACATGGAGAACTGAGTTCTCCCAAAGAATAGGAAGTGATAATTGGTAATGCCCAGACACAAGCTTTAGATACCAAAAGTTCACAACTGTATGCTGTTCCATATATGATAATGCTGCTCCAACACCCCATTTGAACAAAGTAGAGAAGAGGAGAATAGTTTGACCATGGCTGGTGGGGAGGCAGAGTCATGTGAACCAATGCTACATACCTTATGTGTGGTGCCAGGGTAACAGAGGAAGGCCATATAAGGGCCAGCCTCTGCTTAGCTCACCTTTTTTTTTGTCCCGACAGGTGGAGAAGACACATGACAAAATGGACAGAACAAAGTGGAGAGAAGTGTATGGGAGGTTATCCTTAAAGCTTGGTTAGGTGCTAGCTCACCACGCTTCCCTTTGACCAGAAACAGCTCACTAAGGCTGCAGTCACACACAGTAAATGTACGGTCATACACACACACACTTTCCATCCACTTTCAGTGCACTTTCCAACTGGATTTTGCCAGTTCATACAGTAAAAATCCGGTTGGAAAGTGCACTGGAAGTGGATGGAAAGTGGATTATTTAGTGTGTGTGACAGCACCTAAGTCTGTGCTGGCAGACTGAGTCTCCTCTTTACTTTGCCAGCTTAAGAACATAAGAGAAGCCAATGCTGGATCAGGCCAATGGTCCATCTAGTCCAACACTCTGTCACATAGTGGCCAAAAATACCAGGTTCTGGCCTTTGTTGTGTTTTTTTCCAGGTTACAGAGCTCTTTATTCATCAAGACAATCAAGCAATGTGCAACACAAAACTTTATTAGCTTTTACACAAACAGTCCAGCAGTTACTAAACTTGCATTTACCTCACAATATTAAGACAAACTGCTACAGTGCAAACAAATGTTAGTGGCAATTTGCAAATTAGGGCGTAAAGACAATTAACAGCCTCCCCTCAGGCGCAACACAAGATGGAGGGTGGACTCCTTCTGGATGTTGTAGTCAGAGAGGGTGCGGCCATCTTCAAGCTGCTTGCCGGCAAACATCAGTCTCTGCTGGTCAGGAGGGATGCCCTCTTTGTCCTGGATCTTGGCCTTCACGTTCTCAATGGTGTCACTGGGCTCCACCTCCAGGGTAATGGTTTTGCCATTCAAGGTCTTCACGAAGATCTGCATTTTGAACTTTTTTTCTTACGACCGCCGCAACTCGACCGCTTTCCACTCCAGTCTTGTTTCCGCAAGTCCGATTCTCAATGGCCTTTGTTGCAGGGCAAAGGCTGCAAGAATTTCTCTTTCTCATTTGAATCTCAGCTTTTGCTTAAATAGCAGCAATCTTCTTCCTCTGGAATATGTATTTCCTCAGAAAACATTTCTTTCTCTGTACTCACTGATCAGTAGTCTAATATATATTTTCCAAGCCCCTTGTTAATTCCTCAAGCACTATCCAATTCTCTTTCATCTGTCACTACCACTTTGATCTGAAAAACTCTGCTCTTTATCATTTTTGAAGTTTACATGCCACATTTTGAAGGAATTAAGATTGAGACTGTGAAGTACAGCAGAGGATTAGTAGTATAAAATGTTAGTTGAGACCACACTGGTAAATGGACAGAAGCTGTATAGTCCACAAATGTGGAAAAGAACTGGAACTAACAGCAAATAATTAGTAGATTATAGATGGGATATATTTTTCCAAGTAACATTCATTTGGTAGCAACCTGGAAGAAAAGGAACTTGTAATCTTTTTCTTCTAAATTAGCAGTTTATTGGCAGGTACAGAAAGAATGAGAACATAAAGGCCTAATGTAAAGATCTGGATGATAACCAAGAATTCATCACTGGATTCCATACATGATCTAGGAAGGGTGAAGACTGAAAAAAAGACCCAGATGTTCCTGGAAAAGGTCTGCAAAACTAATCTCTGAAGGCAGAGGCACCTGACGCAGGACCCTGGAAGGGGACCTTAGTGATTAGGTAGGTTTGTACAAGAATGGGAGTAGGCAGTAGGGTTCTCTGGCTTTGAGACTCAGGTTTTAGAGTCTATTCTTAGAGCTTCAGGTTGAACTCTGAGAACCATCAATGTGATTTCTTTTAATACTTTAGTGAGGTGTGCCTAGAAAGAGAGATGATTGAGTAATAAAATCTCATTACGAACATAAGAAGAGCTCTGCTAGATCAGAGTAGTGGTCCACCTAGTCCAGCAGCCTCTCACACAGTGGTCAACCAGTTACTCTGGAGGGCCAACAACAGGGCATAGAGGCTAAGGCCTTCCCCTGATGTTGTCTCCTGGCACTGGTATTCAGAGGCTTACCTCCACTCTATATGGAGGTTCCCTTTAATCACCATGGCTGGTAGCTGCCAAATATCCTTCATGAATCAGTCTAATCCTCTTTTTATGCTGTCTATGCATGTGGCTGGGATGAGAAACATCATGGTACAGCCTGATTTTGTCAGATCTCGGAAGCTATGCAGGGGCAGTACTTGGATGGGAGACCACCAAAAAAAGACTCTACAGAGGAAGGCAATGTCAAAGTACCTCTGCTTTTCACTTGCCTTGGAAGCCCCTTGCTGGGGTTGTCATAAACCAGCTGCGACTTTTTGGTGTTTTACACACACATGCCTGTGGTCATCACTAGATCCTCTGGCATTGAATTCCATGTTTTAATCACTTCTTGTATACAGAAATATTTCCTTTTGTCCATCTTGAATCTACTGCCCATCAGCTTCATTGGATGCTCAAAAGTTCTAGTCTTTTGAGAGAGGGAGAAAAAGTTCTCTCTGTCCACTGTAGATCGTCTCTCTGTCCACACCTCTATCATGTCCCCCCTTAGTTACCTCTTTTCTAAACTGAAAAGTCCCAGACTCTTCAGCCTTTCCTCATAGGAAAGGCAGTCCAACCCCCTAGTCATCTTGGTTGCCCACTTCTGTACTTTTTCCAGAGTTTTCCTTGAATTAATTGGGGGGCGGGTTTAAGTGAGATAAGGATACTTATCAGTCATGCAAACCCATGTCTTCTCATTCTATTTACCCCCTTCCTTCCAGCCAATTCAAGTCAATTGTGCTAAATCTTTCCGTAACCAGGGCTGCTAAAGGGGGGGCTGGGTGGGGGAATTTGGGAGCCAAGTCACCTGCAGGGCCCCTGAAGCCAATGTCATGCTGCATCCAGTCAAATGTCTTTCCAATTAGTTTTTTTTTAAATGCAGCTTGGGCTGCAGCCACTAGTGGTATAGGGAAGTCTGAGAATAGTAAAGGACACTCTGGCCCAATCTGCATCTAGCATTTGCTCTGCTGTTTTACCCTACTCACGCTGGAACAGAAATTCCTTTCTACATTGCATGCCACTTTCACTTTGATTGATTGTCGGATTTTATGGCAGTGTCCAGACTGCATGCCACTTTCACTTTGTTTGAACTCTCAGTGTTATGGTACTGTCTGCATAGATTTATGTTTGTTTTATGGCCATTCAGGGGTGACTTTGCAGTCAGTACGGCATTGGCCCGGGGCATCTGAATGTGGTTTTGAGCCACATCTTTTTCTGTTCCATTGTGGGTTTGGTAAAACAACAGAGCAAATGCTAGATGCAGATTGGGCCTCTATCAGCTAGACTTGCCTTTCTGCAATACTGAAGCAAACTGGGCTAACAAATCTTGTGTTGCAGCAAGATAAAACAACTTTTCCCTCTTTTGGCTTTAATTCCTCTCCTGCTTTTCCATGCTTTTCTCATTTATTTCTCCCTCCCTCCACCTAATTCTTCCCTGCTCCCCTGCTATTTACTTTCAAGTCTTGGTTTTAACTCCTCATCCCTATCCTGCTTAGCAACAGAGTGTATGTAATAGTAGTATAGTAGCAAACCTTTGTTAGTATTATGAACAGAAGTGGGATAATATTTCCCCATGACCTAACAAAGTAGTAAAAGGATGTTTCCCTCCTTCTCCACCTTTTACATGCATGGTAATGGAACATTAATCTGTTTAAGTGGTTATGTATGTGGAATGGAAGTTAGAACTCCCAGTTTAGGCACTGGGTGTTTATCATTATTGTTATGTTTGTAAAGTAAAAAAGGTAAAGGCTACTTTACTATATGACAAATGATGTAATATTTTCAATGTCATTAAAAATAGATTTATAACAAATGTCATACCCAGTGTTTCTCCCCAATGGGTACCGAAAGCTGCATTATTCTCCTGGAGACCCACTGCCAGTCTGACTAGACAATACTGACCTTGATGGACCAAGGGTCTAATTCAGTATAGCAGTTTCATGTGTGTTCATGTCCTGTCCTCCATTTTATCCTCACAACAACCCTGTGAGGTAGGTCCAGCTAACAATGTGTTACCAAGCGAGACACATGACATGTTGCTTAAAAGCTGTTTTATTACATATTGCCTGGAACGGAACTAGTTTTTATGCATTACTTTGTCTGAAAGTAGGTTGATACCTGTGCCTTGAACTCTGCAGCATTTTTGTTGCTGTTCTTCAACTGGCTTAATTTTCATGCAGCTTGAAAATAAATCTCTATGATCATAGTTTTCTAAATAGAGGTTAGTTACCTCTGAGATTCCTCTATGAATTGCTTTTGTTAACAAGTTTTGTTTCAAAGCCCTGATTTTAATGTTGTTACAAAAGCATGACTGTATGCTCATTTTACCTTATTAAAACCACAATATTTTGCAAATATTTATTCACTGATTTGTCTTTTCTACAGTGAGAAGTAGGACTTTAAAATATTGTTACGCCAACTGCTTTATCTACAGCAGAGGCTAACTAAATTTAATGTGAGTTCTGGCCAGCTATACCAAGGTCGTGTCTGAACCCAGAATTCCAGTAATGGAGACCACACGGGTGTTATTCCAAAACAAATAATCTTTTTACTAAGCAATATCAAAGTCACATACACACAAAATAATCAGTCTCACAATAGCATACATTCAAGTTCCTTTAGAGTTACAGAAAGATATTAAGATCGTTTCTTATTTACTTGGAGGTAGGTAGGTGTCTATTTCAGTTCATACTTGCCTGTTCCAGAAGTCTTGTCTGTTGCAAGAGAAAATTGGAGGGTAAGGAATAGTTCTAGGGGTAGTTACTAATTCACACTGCTAGAACCAGCCAGCTAGTTCGGGGATCTCTTTGGCTGCACATCCCAAAGAGATCAGGTAAAGACAAAGAGTTTTAAAGCAGGAAAGAGGGGGGAGGTAGTAGAATGTGGCCAGCCAAAAGACTTGAAGCATAGTCTTTGCATTGATGGTAAAATGTGGCTAGCCCAGGACCTAAAGCATGGTCTTTGTGTTGTATAGATGAATCTCCAGGTGGGTGGCACCTTGCCAAACTGCAATCCCACCTACTTACAAGTTCATCCCATGACCTCTCTCATTGGTGCATGTAGAAAAGGGGCAGGTATTCTACGGGTGGGGCGATATTTGAAACTCTACACTCTATGTCATGGAATACCATCTGGCTAGGTGTGAAGTCTAAGCTTCAGGACATCCCTTTGTTGTGCAGATGACTCTTATATAGCACTTATGAGCTTTTAAAGTGCAGTCAATCACATTAGTTTTAACTATACAATCCTCAATTAATTTCAGTAGCCTTAGGCTGGTGTATGGCTGCATAGGATTGCACAGTTATACTGCCATGCTAAAACAAGGTACGTACACTCCTTTGAAGTCAGTGGGGTTAGAAAGGTGCCACTCTGCTTAGGATGGCTCTATTAGCATGCTACCATCCAGGTTGTTTCTGGCTGCAGTCAGTTGTGGGGGAAAATGAAAAGTCATGACTATGTTTAATAATTACTTCCCCAAAATGAATCAAGTTTGCCTTAGGAAACAAGAAAATAAAAGATTCAAATCAATAGTATTACAATATTAAATATCGGGAAATAAAACATGGTTTTAAAAAGCTAAGCCTAGCATTCTCCCAACATCAGTCATAAAACTTGTATACATTATGAAAGTTATTCAATCAGAAAAATGGAGATGGATCTTTATGGATTTTGTAGCTTCCAGAATGCCATGGATCATTTTATTTACATGAATAAATATAATGTCATGAAATTATTAACTGCTGAACTGATGTCCTTGGAAGTCCAAGTCTTTTCATTATGGAACAAATACTAGACCTTCAGTAATGATTATGTGTTCTAAATTTGTTTGAAGAATAGCACACCATGGTTTCAAAGTTGTGTATATTTATGCCCATGGCACGCGCACGCGCGCAGACACGCATGCACACACACACAC